GGTTGTGGTTGAAGTTTAACCTCTAATTTCTGTCATTATGGCGGCTCCAACAAAAGTCGGTGGGCCAAGTTCTCTTCTGGCCTAGAATGGATGTCTACAGCGTCAAAAGTCATATTTGGGTGCATTTCACACAAGGACTACTTCGCTTACATACAGGATCATGAGTGTAAACCAGCGGCCCACCTGTACAGAGAGACCACAGACATTTTATAAAATGAGATGTGTTCCCCCTATGTCGTTTGAGGTGATGAAGGACTGGTAGTTGAATTTTCCCACAATTATATGAAGAGACCTTACTTTTCAGTTAATTTCCCAAAAGAATACCTTTTGGTAAGGAAGCCTATGCGAAATTGACTGGAAACATAAGGTCTATTCATAGCATTTTGGTAAAGTTCAACTGCCAGTCCTTCATCACATTAAACAAATAGGGTAAACATGTCTCACATATCTGATGGTCTCGAAAGTCTACTTACAAAAGAAAAACATTTTATCAAGCATTAATGCGTCTAGGCTGCACAATGGATACCGATACCTGCTGTCACTCTGCTCCGACGGCTCTTTGCCCTCTCCTGCTTGCCATGGATTGACAGCGTTCCACGTACGGGGCCCCCTGGTCGGCTGCGATGACAGTCCGTTTCGCATGGGCCTCAACATGCTGTCAGGCCGCATTCAACCTTTCGTTGGCAGGCATAAGAATTCTCAGCGCCCTACAGAACCCTTCGAAAGACGGCCGATGCCGAGAGAGATGTGTAGACCGGCTCAAAGTGTGCCTACTCATACCTTTTGTTGTGTCGCATTGCCCTTCTTCGGAGGATGGCCTTGTACCGCCCTACTTCCTTCTGACTCCGGTGGTCATTAACTCGCCGGCACGCGTCATTTGAAGCCGTTTGATTGCTTCATCCTCACATGTCAGACCCCTGAAAAGATGGCCTCTGCAAGTGCGTCCTTGGCAAAGCAGTGCTGAAGCTGGGCTACAATATTTGGCAGAGCGGTATCTGCTACCGGTCGAAAGGGGAAGAGAGGGGGAGTGTTTGAGTACATGAAAAGTGAGCAGAGATGGTGTGACAAAGACATCGGGCGAGGCCGAGAGCGCCCCACACTATCAAGATTGTCCTTCCCCTCTGTTGCCTAGTGTGTGGGCTCACTGTGTTATACAAAAGACTGTTCTGGCAACCCTCATCAAATGGCTACCATTTGGCCCAGGTTGTCTGGGTTATAAAAGGCTCGTTGAAACACATCATTTTGCCCAGAAGCCAAGAGTATGTCTGCTTCGAGAAAGGTTAGAACGCGCTAAGAATAAAGGGTGTGAATACCAAAAGGATGTTGCCTTAACTGTACTCAAGGTACCTTCTCGTTGCATACACGTGGTTTGACCTTATTTTCGCAACTCGGCAAGATGAACGCATCTTGCCGGGAGCCGTCTAGCAACGGAGCCATGACAGTTTGTAGCGAAGAACCGCCGACTTGGTTAATTCACTAAATGACAATCACAGTGGTTCTCGAACCATCACAGGGCAACGCATAATCTTTACACATTAAACACTGCGCTACAATGCCACTTACGTCTTTTGGTGACAGGGCAGAGGTGAATTTCAAGGAAGGCCAAGCATTTTCCCATATCACCTTCTGTAGTGGGATCAAAAATAAAGCAAACTTGTATTTGCT